AATAAATCGCCTAGTCCACGATCAACGGACCCTTCGCCCCAGTTGCGGCGACCTGACACGTGTCATGCAGAAGGCGACTCGGCATTGGCCAAAGCAGCTGCATGCCAGTTCGCTCCCAATCGGTTGGATCCGTCTCCAACGCCCGAGCCTTCTGCTCCGCCTCGTCAAGCCTGAGAATCGCTTTCCTTCTCTTCGATTTTAGCCTGGCGACCTCTTCTTTTCTTCAGGCGAAAGAATTGCAAATCCCTGCACTGTTCTTGATAGAGGCCTCCGACCTACAAAAACAAAAGACAGTTGTTTAAATCCCCCGCAAATAGGACGCCAACATCCGCATAAACGGAACGGTACCGATACCTTCTTAACAAACGCCTCGGCCTCGTCTGATTCGGCTTTACTGGCCAACGTCCCTATGAGAAATGCCTTCACACCCGACGGTGTAAATTCAAGGCATCGCGGGATCCCCAGGATGGGCGGTGCATTCCGGTTAGCTTCAACATCCCGCATACATTGCTCGCAGTAGGCATAAAGGCTCGTCGGCATCGGAGCTATGCGCCCGAACCCAAAGGGAATCCAGTTTCTCGGGTGAGATTCCAGCAGTTTCAACTTATGATCGAAGGCCGATCTAATCTCATCAACAATGAGGAATTGTTTAAAGTACTGCGTATGTTTATCATACACGGCCTGGAAGAACTCCTCTAACCGGAGTTTCTCTTGTCGAGTAACTCGCGACATCAAAGTCATTGGAACCCTTAACGTCGGGAACAAGGGCATCCCACGATCAAGAGCTTCTTTCTCAGTGAAAGTCGGCATATCAACACCGGCGAACGGAGATGATCCATCGCTTTTGGATCCAAAAAAGAAGCATATTTCCACTTTCACGAATAAGGGGAATACAAAAAAAAAAAAAGTAATACTTCCGGTTTCTGAAGAAGTAGAAGCAAGTTGCCGAAGAAGTAAAATTGAAAAGAGAAAATGTATTACAAAAGGGCCGGCGGCCCATCCAAATTCAAGAGTCAAACAAATATAAAAAAAAAAGAGCATTAGACGACTTCAACGCCATCTTCAGGATTGCCCGGGTCTGAAGGGGGGTCATCATTGGTGTCAGGAGCTCGAAGGTCGGCCTGAAAGGCTGCAGCATTCGATCCATGTGGCTCACGGATAGATCTGGGAGCGGGATCCTCAGGCCGAAGAAGACCGTAGCCGAGCTGGTCCGGAGACATGTTCAGATCGGCAGAGTCGAGGACGAGATAGTCAAGCGCATCTGCAACCTCCTTGTACTCGACTTTCTTCGCCTTGATCTTGGCAATTTCCTCCTCGGGGATCTGAGCATGGCACTCTTTGACAAGCCTGTCAATCGTAGCCTCGACCCCAAGAGCCTGGTTCAGCAGGTCTTCCTTCGGACGAACAGTGACCTCTTGCTCGGCCAGGAACGCCTTCACCCGATCTAGGCGATCTTGGGCCTTCTTCCTCGTGCGCTCAACCACAGCCTGCCGATCTAGGCGAAGTCGCCAGCATTCGGATTCGCAGAATTGCTGAAGGAGCTGAAGGTCGCCATCGGCTTTCGCCTTCTCCGCAGCAAGGGTTGCATTCTCGGCCCGAAGGCCAGCAATTGTATCCTCTAAGGAAGCGACGACTCCCTCTTGAACCTTGGCCTGTTCCTCCAAGCCCCCCACTTGCTTCCGCAGCATGACCACTTTGTCCTGGGCCTCTTTGGCGCATTTCTCCATCATCAAGAAGGCGTGATTCGCCGTAGAGCGCGACTTCACCCTCTTTTCGTATTTGAAGAAGAGAGCGTTGCCATAGGCGATCGACTGGAAAAAAGGCAAAAACGGTGTTAGAATACGCACAAAATATAAAGGACAGATCAAAAGGAGCGATAAACAAACCTGCAACGCGGATCGAGTATAGTTCAGATAATCTTCCTTGAACTCCAGCTCGTCGAGGTCGGGCAGAATCTCCGAAGAAAACTTTAAATTTCGGCATAATTCTGCCGAGGCGTAACGATCGCCAGCTACGGAGCTCTCTCCGAAGTAGTCGAAGCAGAACTTGTCTGTCTTCGAATCCTTCCGAGTTAATCGGAAAGGATCGGAAGACTCTAAGTCAGCTGCTTCGGCCGACCTCTTACGGCTCGGCTGGTTGCCAGAGTCCAGAGCCACTCCCTTGCCTTTGTCGATTCTCTTCTTCTTTTTCTTCCTTCCGGCCGTGTCTCCTTCAGACAGAGCGACCTCGTGTTCGGCAGTTACGACTTCCTGCCCGGGAGCCTCGCCCTCATCTCCACCATCGTCTTCCAGATCCACGATCGCAGGTTCAGTAGGGGCGATCTCTCCTCCGGAAGCCGGTTCGACTACGGCGACCTCCATAGCCGTTGTTGTTGGTACCACGAGTTCGGCATCCCGAGCCTGGAGGGCGGTAACCGAAGTACCTGATGATTTGGCCAGCTCCTCTGCGAAGTTTGGATACTTTCTCGGGATCCTTCCCATCGCTTCTTCAACTCGCTCTCGGCTAAATTGGTCCCACACTCGATTCTCCCCGCTAAACAGGCTTGCCACAATGCCGGAGTACTCCGTTGGGAACGTAGAAAAGTTTCGGATGCGATCTGAACAAAAGAGGAGAAGTCAGGTCAGAACGATAAGGGAATTCAAAAGAAAAACGTAGATTAAGTACCCGGATCACTATTCCATCGTCGGCGTAAGCCAACAAAAGGATTTTCGAGTGAGAGGTAGTCAGCTCGGACATAAAAGAAACGTTTTTCCCAGCCTTTGAAATTGCTGACTCGGGTTCCGGGAATGACGTTCTGTTTCTCCCTCATGTTCACGGTGAAATTGCCGGCGACCCTGGATTTCTTCAATACCGTCATCTCCTCAAAGCACATGACGGGAACCCTCGTACCGACCTCAGACGCTAGGGTCAGTACTCCAACGATGTTACAAATACTGGCCGGAGCGAGCTGAGAGATCGCCAGTTTACGGCGATGAGTATATAGGGACAAGAGCTCGGGCAGAGGAAACCACAGGCGGCAGCGGGTGAAGTACATCTCGTACAGACAGATGTATCCCTTTGGAGGAGTCCACGGGCGTTGAGTCTCATGCGGAATCAGGATACTGACCCCGGATCTCCCCAAACCGCAAACGTCGAGCATCTCGTTGATGCTGCTCACAGTACTAGAGGTCGGAATTCCACCGATCTGACCTCTGTGGTCAAGGGTAGGCTGGATATCATTCACGAAAACGCCCGGTGCGGCAAAGCGATCCTCGCCCCTTGAGCGATCGGGATTAGAAGACTCTCCGGTTTCCATGGCGGTTGCAGCGTTATTCCTACCATCTCGGATCGGAATTTCAGTTAGCTCGGGAATGGAAGCCCGAACGGGGCGAGATGATGAAGCCTCATTGCTAGGACGGCGCATCGAACGAGTGTTAGAACGAATTAGTGGTGCGACCTCACTATCAGACGGAGAGTGCGATGTCGACATTGTCGGAGTAGTATAATATGACCGGAGAATTTAAAGTCGGCGGCGATAAGTTAAAAGAAAAAGAGGAGAGAGGGCAGAGCGAAATTTTACCTTTTGAGCAGAAAAGCGGAAATGAGGAAAATGAAAGGCATTGAGCAAGTATTTATAGAAGCGAGCGGGAGACAGACCTACGAAAAAATAATGATGACCTAGGCGACGCTTCGACTTCCGACCTATATGCCGCTCCATAGATGAGTGACGCGTGGCATCGTTTCCGAGATAGGCGACGATTCGGATATATTTGATTCGTTTCCCTCTTAGCTTAGGTCAGGCATAATTAGAAGTTCCATAATTCGAATGAACATTCGACCCATCGAACTGGGGGGGGACTTATTGTTGGTGTAGGAATTAGCACCAACGACATACCGGCCTAAACCAAGACGGAATCGAATTAAACCAATAAATCGGGGAATCCCGGTTTATTGTCCAATTATTGCAAAGGGTGCTTTATTCCTAAAATGGAATGGACGACTTCGGATCATTAGGGTTTCGCAAACCCTAATCGAATATTTATGATAATATCTTCCGAAAATCTAAGGAAGAGGAGCATTTATTGTAACCCTAAATCCCTCGTATAAAGGGAGAAGATGTCTCTATTCTAGGGCATCGATCATTTAATAGCAAAAACCCTAGTTCTTCATTTGTTCTTGAGCAAACCCTAAATCGTTCATTTCTAGGTCAAATCAATCCTTTTAATCCGTTTCAATTCGAGTTCTTGAGAGATTGTTCAAAGTGAATTTATTCTCCTTTCCTTAATAAATTCATTGTGTGAACCCTTGGTTCAACATGATGTTTTGATTATATATATATATATATATTATATTTTTTAAAATAATCAAATTAATGCAATTAAAGTTTTACTTGGAAAATGCAAAGGACAATAAATTTAGTTTCGATTGTGGTTCTAATATACACATTACAATCAAGATAAAAGATTTCCAGCATTGCGTTTCACTAACTAAAAGTAGAACTTAATAAATCAAAGTGTGGAGAGTAACACATAGTTGTACTTTTGATGAGTATTGGTAGATCTTCTTTAGACAGCAAGTTCTTTCCGTTTCCACTTTCGGCAAGTTTTAATCTTAATTTTTATTTTTCAACTTTATTCTCCAACTCCAAAACACACATAAAAAAAATAAAAAAAAATAAATATGTAATATATAACCCGTCATCATTACTTTAAATTTGCAAAATACTGATAAATGGTTTACTAAATCGAAATTCCAACGATGAGGAGACCAAATCTACATTTTAAATTTTGAAAATATAATTTATGTAAACATAGAAAAATTTAGATATTACATATAAAAGTCATATTGTGTATTATTTTTCACTTCATATATTAATCTGCTTATTTTAGAGATGATGGATAAAAATGCAAAAAAATAGCTACTTTGAGGTGTTTTGCACAAAACATGTTAACATACTCATTTGCCATGTGTCTATATTTGATGGGTGAAGTTATTTTTTATGATAATAAATTAAATAAATAAGCAAAATTAATAAAATGTTACAGTTATATGTAGATGCATGCTCTTATAGAACAAATAAATCAATGTGACAAAAATTTTAATAAATTTGAAGATTAAATAACTGAGACTTATGATTCAAAATCATGTTACTAAAATACAACCTAAAATAAACATAGAAATAATTACAATATACCAATTATATTATAAAAGCTTACCCTAAAATTACCTCATGGTTCAATAGACTTAACACATGATCGTGTGTGTTACTAACTCTAAAAATCCAACTTTCTACAACTACTCAGATTAATTGAATGGATGAATATTAGTGTAAATAATAAGTGGTATCACAGATATTTTTCTATTAAAAGTTTCATAACAATAAAGGTTATTTAGAAGCTAAACATTACTATTATTTGTGAAAACACGTATACAATGAAAGTAAAAGCATCATGGAAAGTGTCTGACTCATGGGAATCAAAATCCCATATATATATATATATATATAACGTTCCAACTTGTTATTGAGTCTTTACGTTAAAGGAGAAATGGATGCAGGAACAAAGAGGCAATAAGTTGTTTCATCTTTTGATCGGGAGCTGCAAATGTATCACCTTCCTTGTAATACAAATCTATAACTCGTCCAATGTTGATGACTCGAACCAGAATCTGACGAGGCACATCTTTCGAACTCATCAACTCCTCCATCATCATCTTATAACTCTCTTTCGCTATCTTACTCAATGCTTTCACGGCTGCTTCTTTGGTAACACCATATTGCTTCATGTAACAGTTGACGCCATTCGCCACCTCTCCTCTACTCATCTCTAGCTGCTCATTTTTTTTACAAACCCAAAAATAATATGTCAATAATATTGCAATGATCCTTGTTTATTATATGATTGTACCATTCGTAATTTTTATACGTACCTCGAAGGAGGCTATATCATTTCTGAGACGAAACAGAACGCTCAAAGTATGGATAATTTTGGGTTTGGAATCGAACCATTCGTACAATTGTTTCTCTTCACACTCTTCCATTGCAACCAAGCTGTAGGATACATAGTCGTCCATCGCCGCTATTTCAATCACAACCTCCATGTAATCGTCAAAGCTTGGCACATCACCTGTGCGTGCCCATCTTGCTATGGCGTGGTACGCTCTCCCCACACTCTTGATCTATGCTTTCAATATCCAACACAAACATTATATACCTAAGGATAGATGTTATTGGAAGATAGAGACCGGAGATTGACCGAGATCGATGGTCGATATGTCAACCCCAAAATATGGAAATCGAAAAGATATATTATTCTAGAAGATTATTGATAAATGTTAATATTGAGTTTATGAAGTTTAACATTATCACAATATATATTATTTATCCTGAAACTCTATGTAAGAGATTGTAAGTTGTAACATTATTTTCATGAAAGTCTAATATAATTCTTCCTTTAAATCTTTTTGTGTTATTTACTCTCATCAATTTATCATGGTATCATATATCTTTAGGCCCATTAATATATATATATATTTCTCAAAGAAACTAAATCTTGAATGTTTGATTAGCTGTATTATACGTACCTGATCTATTATCACTCTACAAGATCTTCCTCTAATCCGCATTTCCCGTTCAATTTCTTCCACAGTTTCTAACAAATTCAGGAAATACGTTTTAAGATAGTTTGGTAGATTTTCAATGGCGTCACGATCCCACCTGCCCATTAAGTCTATGCTTAGACAAGACGACATTAAGAACATGCTAATTAAGACTAAATGACTAAAGAGATAAAATTGACAACCGATCACAAGACAACTTAACACCATACTTTTGCAAAGCGTCAGTAAGACTTGTAGCTTCAGGAAGAGTGGCATAGGCGTCATATGTATCATCAATAACCGTCATGATCATAGTGAGTTTAGCGGCTATCATTCTCCCTAGTGAATATCTTGGTTCAAAAAACAATGCCACGGATCCCAAAAAGATCTCCACAGATCTATTCCTGATGTAAGGAAGCGTGGCTACAAAATCAAAGCCCTTCCACCATCTGCGAACCAAAATAGCTAGTATAACATTAATATATATATATATATAGAAGATATTTTGACGTGAATATTTGAACTAGGTACAACGGCTTTACTTGGTGAGAGATTTGAGCTCTTTGATGTAATGAAGCCGGCAAAAGTTGAAGTTGAGCTTAGCAAACTTGAGGAGTGTCTCGTCATGGCCTTCTTCTTTGTCGTAGAAAGAGATGTATTGTAGAGCGACTAATATCTCTATGCTGTGATATCGAGCTCTATACAATGCGTTTTCCACATGCTTTAAGAGATTGGAGCTTGTTCCTTGGTTTGTCAACGACTCCTCCAAGTGGTACCGCGTGAAAGTCAACGCTTCCTCCATAATATCTTCAGATAGTGTCCCTAGATGGGATGCTTCGTATAGTTGTAGCATCCCTCTAGTGTCCTTGGCTAGACTTTCCTTAAACTTTCCATCTTCACCTTTGAATCTATCAAACACATCTTCACCAAAACCCATAAATATGTCATGTTATTAATATATGTGAATAAAGAAAGCTTATTATAAAACACGTTTTTACGATCGATCTTTGATTTACCGCAGGGCATTTTGTGTCCGTATAGTCTTAAAACTTCAAACATGATTGCAATTGTTTCCAAATCATCTTCTTTCGAAATTAAACCATCCAACTTCCTAAAAGCCTGTTGTAGAATCTCTTCGATTTCGCTCTCAAAATAATGAGCGGTACCGAGGCTGATAAGCAAATGGATGAGACGGATCCTCACCGTGTCGTTGCTGTGAGGAGTCATGAGCATGTCTCTTACTTTAGGCTTCATAACGGATTCGATTTCTTGCTCAAGTGCTTCAAACTCCTACACTTAATATTTAGCTTAGTCAAAGAAATCTTTTGGTGCAACAAGAATTACCATCGGATAAGGACTGTACTTACTAAGTCATTGACGGGAACAGAGAGGAAGTGATCTCCCCAAAAAGATGGAGAAAAAGATGTCAATGGACGAGTACTCTCAAGATCGCCACTAGCCTCAGCTTTAACACAGAACAGGTTGTGCTTTGTATGTTTCTTTGAGGAAAGAGTTTGGTTTTTAATTAGTAAATGACGAGGAAATAGAGAGAAGCTGGTCTTAAGACAAAGATGGACGTTGTGAACGCTAGGGAGAGCTTTAGGGCCAAAAGTAATGCTTGATGCTTCCATTTTTGATAATTTACTTTGCTTTCTTAAACTCTAGCTACTGTGTTTTAAATCGACCATGGCCGGAATCTTATGGACAGCCTGAAACGTGCTCTAACTGGATCAATCATAACATGTATTAAGGAAGTTACTACGTAAGAGGAATCTTCAATTAGTGTTTCGTGCACATGTGATTTACAATGTCAACTTTCTAAAATGAATATTATACTGTACGTACGTTTTTAAACAGATGTATTAAAGTGCAAACTATAATGGGTGTACTCAAATAAATAAAAAATTAAGAATCTACACATGTTATGTTTTTAATTAGTTTTCTCTCTTGGCTATTTAAATTGGAAAAAGCTACCCCTAAGATAGATAACAAATATTTTAACACATAACAAAATAGATATCCATAAAATTTTAGAAAAACTTTTACATATCATTTATATGTTTTTTTTTCTTTTGTCATTTATATGTTTATATGTTTATATCATATCATTTATATGTTTCTTATGTATAAGTTAACATAACAGATGAAATATCATAATAAATTAACATATTAATATATAAGTTAGTTGATATCAATTATATAATAAATAATTTAACTCGATAATTATGAGTTTATCAAATAATTTATAGCGCTAACATAAATAATTTAACTATATACCTATGACGTTATCAAATAATTTATAATGTATAGCGGTAACATATGATTAACATAGTTAATAGCGCTAACATATGAATAACTATAAATAATTTAACTATATAACTATGAAGTTATCAAATAACTTATAATGTATAGCGGTAACATACAATTTATATGATACGCTATTTTTGCAAATATCAGTTTATTTATTTTTTGTTAAATCGAATTAGGGGTAAAAATGTAATTTCGATAGTGGTGAGGAGAGAGATCTAATTTTAAAATTATCACTCCTTTACTTTTTGTTTTCAGATCTTTTGAGTACCAATTTTTAACAAGCCCTGTATTAAATTACTAAGTTAAACTACACGCGTGTGATTTCTCTTTTTTGTTTTATTTTAATATTTTTATTTGTTTTTTTGTTGTCCTTTTGGGATTTGTATTAATTAATACAAACTATGAAAATTGTTACATAAACGATCTTACTATTGTTAATTCTTTATAATCTTATTAGATTAACGACTGAAAACGCCTTACTATTCTTTGAAAGACTATAATTTTGCACAACTGGAAATCTCTTGTAAACTTGACTAAATATGTATAATTTTTAATAAATCGTATTATTTGGGATTCGAATTCTAAACATTCGGATATTGAAACATTAACTAATCTTAAGTCTTGGCCAAGTATTTTAGACATTTTATGTAGATTTAGTAGACAGATTTATATAATTTTTCCCTATTTCTTCTTGTTCATCACCGCCCTCTTTAACCTCAGTTTTTTACTATTTTCATAACTTTTCATAAAAGAGTATCAACTTAACAATTTTAATCTTTTGGTCTTGTAGCACTAATGTAAACTAGCCCAGAAAAAAAATTATTGTAAATCCACTTCATGCTATTAGCTAAAAGAGAGACTACAATCCGTAATCATAAGACTACAAGCAAAAAGTCCAAATCAATTAGTCAAATTAATATCACTTGCTCAGAAACTCTCACGTTACAGTTCACATTTATCCGGATCGACCAGGCTCAAACATGCGAAGATGCGATGGTTTCACATTAAAATATAGGGAATTTAATGAAAAAACCCTTAACATTGGCCGGATCCATTTTTAAACCCTCAACTATTTTTTTAATAAATAAAACCCTGAACTAAAAAACATTAACAAATTTAACCCTCCGTCTATAAAAGCATACATTTTTACCGTTAACAATTTCGTATACTCTAGCAGAACAATAAAACGAAAACCAGTACGCATATTTTTAAACATATTACGATCACAACACAATTTTTCGATTATAGTATTCTGCAAATCCTGATGGAAAATATAAAATTTTCTCATATTTTATGCAAAATGCTTATTCTGAAACATATTTACAACAAAAAAAAAAAAATTGACTTACCACAATATTTTATAAAATTCAAACCAGATGAAATAGACATATGTTCTCTCAATACCTCACTCCATAATGGAGACTCGATGAGTTAATGTCATCCATCATTAAATTTAATTATGCGTCTCACCCTCGATTAACTCTGTGTTAATCGGCTATTAAACCTACTTTAGTTTCTTTTTCACTAACCGTTCAACATTTGGAATTTTGAGGTTTTAGGATTTCACGATTTGAGAGTTTTTTTGGTGATCTATTATTCGACGTGTGAACTTTTATGGAAAACGAAGGTTCTTAAGAGAAGGTTTGTTGTTAATTTTTGTATTTAAAAACTAATGCTTAGTCTTTTTTTGTTTCAGTTAAACAAACGTTGATTGCGTAGAAGAGATTATTACGGGTGTTTAGGTTTTTTATAGGTAGAGGGTTAAATTTGTTAATGTTTTTAGTTCAGGGTTTTATTTACTAAAAAAATAGTTGAGGGTTTAAAAATTGATCTCACCAATGTTGAGGAGTTTTTTCATTAAATTCCCTAAAATATATAACAATAGTTTTAAAATTTGGGTTTTGAACTAATTAAACCAATCTTTCGATTCCTTCTCATGGGCCTTCCCATGTACTAATAATTTTTGAAACATGACATTACGATTCAAAAAACATATAAATAAGGATTAATTGGGTTTTTAGTACATTTTTGAAACATAATTGTAGAAAAAGTACATTTACTATTCATTATTATAAAAACTAATACATTTTTACTATTTGGACACTATTTAAAAACCCCCTTAAATCTAATAACTAAAAATATTCATCAAAATATATTTGTTTTCTATAAAATTTCAATTACATAAAAATCTGTATTTTTTTCTCTATAATTTGATATGCATTTTTAAAAAAATAATTTCATATATTTTTCAAACAAATTTTGATACGCCCAGCTAACCTTATGTACAATTGTGTATTGATATACGGAAAATCGTCCGTACAACGGTCTATTTATACGTATAATTATATGTGTACATATATATTCTGGTCTATATATGTATATTTGTTTATGTGTAAATATGTTTATATGTAGTTGTTTCTCTTTATACAAATATTTGATGTACAATAATATGTTATTTTACAGTTGTCTGTCTGTACAGATATCTGAAATAGTAAAATTGTAATATTTTGCTATTGTAAATAGTAAATGTACTATTTTTATAATTATGTTTCAAAAACGTATTAGTTTGCCAACACACCCTATAAATAATGATCTCAATATTATTGGTTGGTTCATTAGAAACAAGACCAGAAAAAAAATCAACAAAAATGACTTGTTAGGACATTTACAGTATATGCTTTGAGGATAAGATCAGTCGTACATCTAATGGTAATTGTGTTTGCCAATTAAGAGGATGTGGAAGTCTTAACAATAACTAGGGATGGACCCGCACATACGTGCGGGGTTGGTTGCAAAAATTAAGTTTATCATAAAGTTTCAAAATATTTGCATCGACATGATAAGAGACTCGGATCGAGTGTAAACCGAATGAGTGATAAGTTAGAAATCAATTAAATTTATAAACTATCAAATCACATAAACCAATAAAAAATATTAAAAATTTTGAATAAAATAACATAAATATATATATATATATATATATATATATTTTTTAGGAGAGTCAAAACTGTTCACTATGCATGTCCTACAACAAATTGAAATATTTTGCTCCACCCACATGAATAAATATTATGTCTTCAGCTTGCCGTTACCCATAATTATTTAAGATAATAATTTTTATTTTCTAAATTAGCCGTTCCCTTTCTGTATACGTTATTTCTTGTCCCGATATTTGAAATATTTAAGTAATTTGAAACTTACTTTTGCTATTAAAAATTTTCATATTCTTGTATCATACCCGTCATTTGATATTTGAAAGTTAAAATTGAATTTAAGTAATACAAATTTTTTATATAGGCTTGTTTTTGATGAAAAATAGTTTAGATAATTTTTTTTTTTAATTACCCATTCCCTTTTTGTTCCCGTTCTTTCTCTCTAAAATAAGATCATACATTTTTTATGTAAACAACATCATTTACATATTTTTTAAAAACATAATATAGCATGTAGTTAACTAATTAAATTACTCGTTCTCTTTCCGTATCCGTTATTTTTTGTACTTATTTTTGTCAACATTGAAAGAAATTAGCTCATACGAGCCAAATATTTCTTGTCCCGATATTTGAAATATTTAAGTAATTTAAAACTTATTTTTTTCTATTTAAATTTCATATTTTTGTATCATACTTGTCACTTGATATTTGAAATTTGAATTTGAATTTAAGTTACCAAATTTTTTATATCGTCCTTTTTCATAAGAAATAGTTTAGATAATTTATTTTTATAATTACACGTTCCCTTTTTGTATCCGTATTTTCCCTCTAAAATATGATTGTATATTATTTATGTAAATGAAATCATTTACATTTCTTTTTGAAAACAATATTATATAGCTTGTAATTAACTAATTAACTTACCCATTCTCTTTCTTGTCCTGATATTTGAAATTATTAAGTAATTTGAAACTTACTTTTGCTATTTAATTTCATACTCATGTATCATACCCGTCATCCGATATTTGAAAGTTGAAATTGAATTTAAGTTTCCAAATTGTATATATCGTCTAGTTTTTGATGACAAATAGTTATATAATTTTGTTTTGTATTACCCGTTTCTTTTTTGGAAATTGAAATAACTATTTTTCCATTTTAATCATAATTACTTGATTTTATTTATTTATTTGTAACATACATTAACTGTTTAATTCTTTTTGTGGATTGCCAATGTTATATTATATGGAAAATATAATAATCATGTGATATGATTTCCTGAACTTTCTTAAAACTATTAAATGCTAATTCCAGATTAGTTAATATCCAGCAAGATTGGGCAGTTAATATATAATTAAATTGATGTTAATAATAACGAATGTTTATTTGAC